TATTTTGATTAGAAATTTTTTTCCGTGAAACAAGTAACATCGCCGTGATATCTTTTTCCAATACTTTTTACTGTGATCGATGCGATCACATAGTGAGCACTATGGGTCGACGAAGTTCTAGGTTATCGCGAAATACTCGATCGCTATTGGCGATCCGATCGATACCTTTTAAAAGAAACTCCTTTTTTATATATCCGTTTAGACGGACGAAACCGTTCGACTGTTTGCGAGCTACATTTTTCGATCAAAGGATTTAACGGAATTCATTCGCAGCACGTTTCAGTGACTGCTGGAAACTAAGAGATGGACGACAGATAACGCGTCAGTATTATTGCAGCTTATATTTCTTAGTTTAATGTTGTAGCTTATAGCTCGGAATAATCTGCCCCGCTGGAGTATTATTTTATAAGCTGTTAAGAGCGCTTTTAAATCGCGTCTTATTGGATTATACTTTAAACGGAATTTAATTACGCAGAGTCCTGGAAGGTATCATTGGAAAATAATTTCACCCATTAAAACGGCAATAATATTAAAGTAGCATATTTGAAAATAATCCTACGGAAACTTTGGCTCGATTAAACTCTCCGAAGAGTTTTATTGCGAATGCGTTTCAATTTCTAATATTGGATCGGCGCATACGAAATGTCAGATTCTATTTTATAATAAATTTGTATAGAATAAAATAATGTTTGCTTGAATAAACTTGTGCCAATAACTAGCAAGGACACGAGTACCATTTTTTCAAACATCTAAATTTCTAGGCTCACTTAATTTGTTTTTCGTTGACAAAATTTTGAATGATTGTATACACTAGATATATAGTATGATGGATAATAAGATTCAACAAAAAGTACAAACGTTTAAATCCTTAAAACATTTTTTCTACCAAGTAAGAAATTGTGGAAAATGTTCTTGCTAAGCTGTCACACGAAAGCTTCAAAGTATTAATTCATGATTACTAATCAATAATTATATGAGCAGTTTAAGAATTAAAGATAGGATAAATTAACTTTGCACACAAACAGTAAAGACAACATTTGCAAGAATATTGTAATTAATAAAATAACAGTTTTTTAAGCAATTACAATTTTTATCCGCCTCGGTACTTAAAAACTATACGTATTATGTATACTTATTACTATACGAATAATTATTATGTACAAACAAAGCGACTGATTATAATTGTTATTGGATAAGTAAAACCTCGACCATAATTTTCAAACTCAATTTTCTTGAATACTATTGCACCTTTACTTTAATCCTGATTATTTGGTTATATAGAAAAGACACTAATGAACGCTGAAAACATAATAATTCTTGACTAATCAGACCCTCATTAAGCCTTAGTAATTACATCTTATTCTTCTGTATTCAAATCTTTATTTCCTGTCGCATACGTTAAATTGATATTAATATCAAAATTATACAGGGTGTTCGGCCACCCCTGGGAAAAATTTTAATGGGACATTCTAGAGGCCAAAATAAGACGAAAATCAAGAATACCAATTTCTTGACTGGGAAACTCCAACTTCGTTAAAAAGTTATTAAAAAATTAAATTACAAAATTTCAAATCATTCTGAAAAAATTATATTTAGTTGTAGGGGTCAATTACAAATATTTTTAGTGAATAGACAAACCCCGAAATTCTACGCAATTTCGAGAAAAAAATTCTTTACCGAAAATCTAATGTGAGGCCAGATATACTTCCCTCATGCAAATCTATAAAATGTCATAACTCCTGAATGGATTGAAGGATTTTAATTTTTCAAAATGCAAACAACGTGTATTTTAGTGAAGAATATGTAGAAATTCTAACAATATTGAAAAAGTTGTTCCTTGACACCGTAAGGAGAGAAAAAACACCCTAAAACTGGTCCAATTTTCAAACAGCCATAACTCTTACAATAGTGAATATATTTCAATGAAACTTTTTTCTGAAGTAGAGCTAATGCGTACCTACAAAAACGTATTAAACAACTTTTCTGTAGGGCGTCCAACAAAATTATTAAAAATCAAAAACGAATTTAAAAAAAAAATCGACCAGAGGCTGCTGAAATTTTTCGGCGACAAAAAAATTTCAAATCGTTCTGGAAAAATTATTTTCGGTGGCGGGGGTCAATTACAATAATTTTTGGTAAATAGACCTACCCCTGAAATCCTGTGCTTTCTCGAAAAAAATTCAGTACTTGCGGAACTTTAAACGTTAATAACTTTTTAGTGAAGCCTCCTTCAACAAATTAGTATTCTTGATTTTCGTTTTATTTTGGCCGGGGGTGGCCGAACACCTTGTATAATTAATCCTTGCTCAACAGACTTCTGATTCATTTTAACCCATGGAGAGTGTTTATTTTTTAAATCGTTAAATTTTGTATTTTATTAAATAACAATATAATAATACATGCAAGAACTTATAAAAGTAGACGGTAAGAATAAATAAAAAACTTACAAATGTAATAATATAGACATTAAATCGAAAACCTTATACCGGAAGATAACGAAATTCTGATTGGGGTTGAATTGGACTCTGACTGAGTCAGTTTTCGAGGGTACGGAATTGGATTAATACATTTTGGGCGATTTGTTTCATGTCTATTTCTTTGAATGAATTGGTAAGATATACAAAATTCTATATAAAATTCACAGATAGTCGAGAAATACCCCATGTTTCCCGATACCCTTCGAGACCATTTTTCCAGCTCTAAACTACACTCAACCGAGTAACAGTTTTTAAGATCTTCGCGCCATATTGATAATAATCGACGGTTGGTTAGGAAATCATCCAAAACTATAACTTGCCGCCTAAATCTCCGATCAAAGTAACGATATGTATGAAAAATAAAAAGAACTTCTCGCATTTGCTGCGGTTATAGTAAATTCACCCAAAAAGCGTGTTTCACGGGGACAGCTCTGATGAATAAAAAAGCATTCACTGACCCGTCGAATCTTACGATTTGGACGAAGAGTTGCGCCGACATTTCAGTATTTTCGAAGTTCTCCAGCAGAGTCGCGAAAAGACAAACAACGATCACGTTTGAATATCGTTAAACGTTACCTGAGATTAGAATAATATAGTTTAATGGACATAAAAGCAATGGAATGAGACAATGTGCTTAATTAGCCGTCGACATTTCGATCACTCAAAGTGTGATCAATTAGAAAAATTTGTAATAATATGGAATACTTAAAAAAATAATCATGAAAAGTATACAAACCACCTTATAAAATGTTTCTTATTTTTTAGTAAAATTAAGCAAGAAAACGTCATATATTGATCTGTATGTTATAAGGGAAATTAAAATTGTAATCTTAAATGTTAAGAACATATAAACTGTAAAAGGAAAAACATCGATTGATAAAAAACATTAGTATATCCGATTAAGTAAATCGTGTTAGTCATAATCGTACTGAAATGCGACTTTAAATCGAGTAGCAAGTTTGTGAAACTGTGGGATTTGTAAATAAATTGAGGAGTGTAATTTCAAAACTGGTTATATCCACCAGAACCAACTTTAAAATATTTACGTATTTCAATTTTTTAATATATAAAGTAAAACTCTAGGCATAACGTAATCCTGATAATAATGTAAATTATTATGCAAAACGTTTAAAAAATATTTATACATTGCAACTTTTGATGATGATTGTATGTGATCAGCTTCGATAGCAGTGCACTTAATTTATATAGTAATGACATTTTATTTATTTTTCAATGAAATAGTAAATGTATTTTATAATTCAATTCAGGTTAAAATAAACAAAAAGTTTTTGGTTCCGTAATTTTGAAACTAACTTGTGTGTCAAACGATAAAATGATTATTTTGTCTGTAAAAACATTTTCATAATTTGTCTGTAACATCGTTTCAATTGGAAAATTGAAACACGAAAATCTGAACCCAAAAGCTATATCGTTATGCGTAGGACATAGATTATTTATCAATGTGTAAATTTAAAGTTTTATCATAAAACTTTTGTTAAACATTTAATGTATAAACTTTAATGTGTTTCAAAATCGAGTATGTGGACTTAAACTATTTTAGGCTTACACAGTTCGGATTTTGATAATTGATATTGGTTCAGGCTTCGTGAACAGAGTTAGGCATATTTTATTTTCGAATAACGAATAAAAATGTTAAATCCACTCATAAACTAGCATTTGCCCACAGCTTTGTTCGTCCGAATATTGGTTTAAAAAATTTCTTAAATTCTAAATTTATAAATAAATTTATGAATGAAACGTACATGGAAGTTAGTTTACGAATTAATTTAAAATTTTTATTCGTTATTCGTGAATAAAATTTGCCCAACTCTATTTCAGCAGCCTGAATCAATATCATTTATCAATTTTTTTGTTAAAATATTTTATTAAAATATATTGAGTTCAGATACTCGATTCGGAAATTAACTATTAAAAACAATTAATTTATAAGAGTTTATAGTTGTATAGTAACGTTGCAGTTAGTTTCTTCGAACGACACACTAGTATTAATGTGTGTCATGTGGTAACAAGTCCATTTCATTTATTATAATGACTACATACTTCATTTTTAATACATCCTTTTCCCCGAAACTTCAAAAGCATCAAGATCGAAACAATGATTCATCACGATTTTCCAATTTAAGGTCATCTAAGGTCACAATCAAGCGGGTCGTTGAATTCGTTTCGACGCCCCTTATAATATTACGGAGTCAAAAATACATTTTATTTAAAAACATCACGATGACCTCAATTTTTTGTTTCCATTTTTCAAACTATCAAAAATGGCGGAAAAATCGCGGGGTCTACATAATTCGTAACACTCGACGCTCTGATTATTTTTATATATAATTTCGAGTGTTTCTAAAGAGATCCACAGTTCGAATGATCGAAAGGTCATCGGCCAATTAAACGGGTTGTTCGGTTTCGTTGCGCCCTTGTCGACTAAACATCGTTGTTTCGAGTAACTTATCGACCGATATAGGTTAAAGCAGAAAAAGAAAGCGGAAATTTGATGTTAGTTACCTGAGATCGTTACCCCTGGCTCTCCTGATACCACGTGACGAATGTCGAGGCGGCGGACTGCACCTACAGTCACAGTGCATCACACACAGAGCGACGCTGGTCGCGAGAGTCAATACGAATGGCGCCGCCAAGAAGTGTATGATGGTGGTGACCTGCGCCTCACGGTTATAGTTCGCCATCACTATGCTGCCGTTCACGCGGCTGTAATGGCAGGGGAACTTCGCGCCCTCGTAGCCCAATTCGCGGGTAAAGTTGTTGCAGTCGACGATCGGCGGGTAGCCGCACCCTTTGATGTTCACCAGGAGCGCCGCCTCGACGTCACCTGGCGTCGGCACTGTACAAACAACAATACTAATCAGCAGACTGTGGATCTTCATGCACTTAAAATATGTTTGCGTATGAAAATAACATATGTGATATATGAAAATATATCACATATACTTATGTATTTTACATAAGTGTGATACAGGGTGTTCGGCCCCTACACGGAAAAATATTAATAACAGATTCAGATGACAAAATAAGACGAAAATCAAGAATATCAATTTCTTGACTGAGGCTTCGTTAAAAATTATTCAAAAATTAAATTAAAAAATTTCAAATCATTCTGAAAAAATTATTTTTGGTTGTGGGGCTCAATTACAATCATTTTTGGTGAATAGTATACCCCCGAAATTCTACCCACTTTCGAGAAAAAAATTCAAATACGTGTAAAATTTTACGACAAAATTATAAAATTTCGAATCGCTTTAAAAAAATTATTTTTAGTTGCAGAGGTCAATTACAATCATTTTTGGTGAAGAAACATACCCCCGAAATCCTACACACTTTCGAAAAGAAATGTTTATCAATATTAATAGTTATTATTGCTAATTACTATTACAATTTATATTATAATAAACAACAAGAATTTCTTCCATGTCTACTGTTGACAATTGATGACATTTATCGCCAAAGATTAATTTACATGCAGAAAATTTCTCATTTTTCGTTGTCAAGACTTCGCTAACTCATTTACACTGACCATCGTTTTACACGTGTCGATGAAAAACTGATTTCTTTTTTGATCTTGCAATTTCTGTGTAGTTATTTTTATCAAAATGAAGAAATTATAGTTAGTTGCTCTCAAAGTATCTTCTTTTTGAAGTTTTGTTTTATGTATAGGAATGTTGAAATATTGTGTTAGTTGTGATTTTCTGTTGGAATGAATTTCCTTTTCGCATGCTTCACATCGCACAGATATTCCATCGCTTACAAAACTTTCATCTCCTTTTCCATTAATCCAATCTTGAAGTAATGTACGCCGATATTTTCGCGTTTTAGGAATGATATTAATTTACCGTTACGACATAAATTTTCAAAGCGAAAATCATTACAGTATACTTAATTAAGATATATCAGAGCTGTATTTGTTGTCATTTCTTAGAGAATTACTTGATAACAACATATACATGTACCGTCCTTCCACGAGAAGAAGGCACAGAGTGTTTACATCTCCACTCTTGCTGCATTCCACTAATTGGCTGTCATCGATCTTCGTTACTGTTTTCGACCAATGCCTGTGAGTCAGCGGACTGCAACAGGAGTGGGGATGTAAACACGCTGTGCCTTCTTCTCGTGGAAGAATGGTACATGCTTCTATTAAATGTTACTAATCTCGTTATCAATAAACGCATTTAAATTTTGATTTCATTCACAACAGATTTACTCTGGCCATTCGACAAATAATTTCAAATACATGTGATAATACTAAATGAAATATGCAATTTACTTTTGCATATGCACTTAAAATATTTCTAAAATATACGAAACATGCAAAATATTCATAATAAACCATGCATGTATTTTTAAAATCTTCTTATCATGAAATAAATTTCTGTATAGGTCGCATAACTTTATCTGGTTCTCATAAAAATATGTAATTGCATGAAGATCCGCAGTCTACTAATGAGTTCCAAAACAATTGCCAAATATCAATATTCTTTTAGCTCTGCTGTCATCTTCGGGATACTTTTATCCCAACGTATCTTCATTTTATATTAATTTTTACTATTATCGAAAGATGCATCTAAATTATTATATTTGAGTTGACGTTTGTATTTTTATCGATTTATTGAAATAAATTCATAATGAAAGTAAATACAATGAATTTTAGTAACAGAAATATATTTATTAAGACCTTATAATGCTAATACAACCAAAATTTTGATTTTACAATAAAACAATAATATTAGCAAAAGTTTCCTGATTGATTAATATTGGAAATTAAGTTGACGATTTTTAATATTAATCTACATTATTATAAACTGTAATAGTAAACTTAAATACCATTGCGAGTACTTGTCTATGTTCCCTTGATATTACATACAAATCTCATGGTTTTTGATTAAATAGTATTGCAATAATAAAAATAGTTACGGTTAAGCTTTTCGGGACAATTTTATCCGAAAAAGAATAAACGCATAAGTCACTTTTTTATTGTACTGGAAGTTTTTGTACTATATTGTACCCTGAACATGATGTATGCACCTATGACGTACTGAATTCCGATGTTTCATGTTTCAAAATATAAACATTCACAAGGTACTAATACAATCGTTTAAAGTTACATTCATTTACAAGAATATGTTACAATTTTTATATATTGGAAATTATCACGAGAAAATATTGAAAAAAATTCATAAATGGGAGCTCGGAGAACATTAAAAGAAGTTAATTTCACATCAGTTGAATAGAAAAAGAAGTTCATTCTCCCGAAGAAAATTAAAGATCGTTCGATTTTTGCAAAAACTATACAATAAAAGCTGGAATACCGGCCAATGGGAGAAAATAATTTGATCGAACGACCATAAAATAAATCGTTCTTCGCCAGATTTAACAATAAAAAGTGACTTTCTTTTGTTGCATCATGTTAGGCGTAAGGTTTCTTTCCCATTCTATGATGTTTTCGATGGTTTAACGAAACAATTGAAAACATACCAGTATTGGAATATGATGTCATAATCCAACATAAACAAACACAATACATGTGCGAAAAGTGTGAAGAAATAATTAAATGTTCAGCCATTTAAAATCTTAGAACGACCAGTCCAAATCTAAAATTCGTACCCAATGAAAAATATTATATTTAAAAATGAAATTGGAAAAAAGTAATGCTCTTCGATCATCATTAATCAACATGTGGCAGCAAAATTCAGTTACAGTGGTACAGTATCACGTCAAAATACTGCAAATATTTAGTTCGAGTTACTATTAAAACCAAAGACACCTGGATCAAACGATTTAGTCGACCTTCGAAAAACTTGTGACTGAATAAAAATTGCTCGACACTGCCCACATTCTCCTTACTTGTGGTATTGCAGGGATAAAGAAAAAAGCAGTCATGGATTAAGGGGGGCATGGCACTGTGAATAAGTAGAATGTAGATAACATCGAATAATTTAGCCTTACAAACTCCAACTATAACATCTCATCCAATACGACTCGCACGAAAGGTCTTGTTTTCTCTGCTGAATACGACATTACCTATTCTTAACGCGGTTGTAACCACGTTATGCAGTAAGTCCTCGAGTTACGTCGATTTTATAGATACACGGTCATGTTTCCACTTATGTCCCTATACACATTTAGTGTGTGTGTATTTATTCACACATTAAATATACCTTTTTTCTTTTCAATTTTCGTTCCATAAAGAGGTGCATATAAAATATGAAACATGAAATGTATTATAAAGAGAACGAAAAAACAACTCCATCAGAAATTGTTAATTATACCGCAATAGATTATTAAAGAAACATTAATCGATACGACAACTACAGAACGAATAAACAACGTAAGTCGAGGACTTAACGCATTAACGAACGAATTGTCAACATTCGAAATGCTAAACCTAGCATAACCAATTACACAAAGTTACATCTTATATACTATTAGAGTGCACGTCAAGCCTTAAAGTTGTTTTTAACTAGTACGCTTAGGAAAGTAAAAACTTTTTATTGATCGTGAGAGCAAACTCTGAAGTTTATTAACTCGATATTTACGTAACCACGATGTTCGACTTTCTTAATTAAGAAATAGTTTATTGGTTTGTTATTTTTGAACGAAAACACGAAGTACTTTAATAATTCTTCTCTTTAATTTGTACTCTCAATTATTATTTTTTTTTTATTTTGATATCCTTTGACACGGTAGTATATAATTTAAGAATGAAGAGACATTATTGTTGGAAAGAATTTATACAAATATAATGGATCTTCGAGTTGCACGAATTCGAAAGGACGTGGTGGTATCCTTAATTGTGTCCTTATATTAAAAATGGACAAAATGTTCATATAGATACAAATGTTGAATAATGAATAAAAATTATATAACTGTTTTATCCATTGTTCGTTAAATAGACATTAAATATTTCATAATAAACGAATAGAAATTTAACTATTGGATTGAATAAATTGTTATACGTTGGTTATATGTATATATTATACATAACATATATTTTATATGTATATCTTGTACTACTATATTACTCCGTCAAGCGTGATGGATGACCAAGCTTTAAATTGAAATATTTTCGTAGACAAATTAACGATTTTTAAAAATTTTCTATAGATAAATACATACTTGGATTGTTATAGCTAAAATACAACCCTTCGACCGTATAAATATTTCTATAATATTTCTGCTAATTAAGTAATTTATACTTCCCGTCGGATCATAAAGAGCATATGAACAAAATTTCATCTGGATTGGACAGAAATAATAGGAGCTATAGAGAAATCACAAACATACAGGTATTGCCTTTTATATTAATAACTAAAGTTTAACTTGAGATTACCGTGTCAAACTAACAAGAGAAATGTCAGTGCTGATCCTCATATATTTTAATGAAATGCTGGCTTATAGGTGTACGTATACAGCAATCGTGATCGGAATTATAGCCGTAGAGCCCAATCAGATATGATAAAAATAATGGTAAAGTTTGGAAACTTCGCTTAATCTTGTATACGCGGGTAGAGCATACCAATCAACAATCAATGTGGCGTAGTAGCAAACGTAGAAAATATAATATTCTGTAGAATTTTTGTTCAACGAATCATATTACATTATATTATTTTTGAACTTGAAACAAAATATTACCAATCTCCTACGTTCGTCATTTTTCAAAACTTTACGGTGAGGATCAGTATTGATATTTCACTTATTGACTTTATAAGTTAATTACAAGTTATATAAATAATCTTCAAAAGTGCTACTACTTTTATCAAATCTAGATGAAATTTTATTTAGTTACACATTTTGGGTTGACGGAGAGTATAGGCATCTTAATTTGCAGAA